TGCTCTTTCCCACTCTGATAAACTATTTAGCTGATCTATGGTTGCAGCCCACTGTTTGAAATTGTAGAGGGAGAGTGGTGTTTTTGCCAGGTGTTTTGAACAAACTGTGGCCATTAGTTTTGGACACAGACACCTTATGAGGAAGGCAAAAGGTTGGGAACTTCAACCCACTGTCACACTAACACACACTCCAACAGTAACACGGTACAATACAGCTATTGCAGTTGCTTAGCAACAAGTGCCTAGCAATAATAAACATACAATAGTCTTTTACCTGGTTTGGCATTTTGACTGCTTGCAGATCTTGCATAAGCCTCAGCATGAGTCTCATTAAGTGTAAGCCAATTGCAGCTTGAGAAGGGAAAGCTGAACAGTTTGACATCTGTGTGTTAATACCTGGTTGGAAACACAGTAGTCTGCCTGCAGGAAACTCAGCAGGTCGTGAGATGCTAAGACAGCTAGAGCAACACTCTTTCTGCTTAGAGAAGATATGCATACTGTGTGTGCTACAAAGCCAAAACAGATAAGACATGGAATGGTTAATAAACACACATAAAAAGTTAGGCTGCAAAATTCAGGATGTGAAGTGTCATGTCCAAAAAAGATGAATCAGATGTGAGTTTGTTCTCAAAACCTTAATTTGTAGCACTGACAGGATCAAACTAACAAGGCCGAACTTATCGGTGTTTTGAAAGTGTCAAAACAAACTTGTGCCGGCTCAGTTCTTGAAACCTCACTTGAACATATTGGGAAACTTTTAAGCAGGCTTTGGGATAATAAATGTTTTTTTTTTTTAGATGCACTAAACTGTAACTGAAGCCACTGGGCAAACAATTACTGAAAACAAAAACAGACATCTTACTCATACGTAAATCTTAGACCATTTTCTTCTAGAAACAAACTTTGTAGTATTATTTTCCTGTAATAACTGAAAATCAGCTTCAAAACAATCTGTATTGTAAAAAGCGCTATTTAAATAAAGGTGACTTGACTTGACCTGTCAGGTGTCTTAAAGTGGTGTCTATATATAATTAAATAATTAAAAAGCATTTCTGCAGAGAGATCAGTGTCCTGTTTTTAAATGTGACCTCTTTTGCTTAAAACAAACACAAAAAAACACACATTTTCGCTTAAAACAGCCAAATGCTTTGTAAGTGAGCATCAGAGATATTCATGAGTACAATTAAAAGTCTCCGTAGGGGAAGAAAACACAAGAAATCGAGTGTATTTTTAAACCGTGCAAATCCTCTGCATAATTGCACCAAAAGATGATTTTAACTATAGCCTTCTAAATCCAGGGCAGACTTCTAAGAAGAACATCAGAGATGCAGAACTTGGATGCTGCACCCTGAATAACCGAGGATATTATGGGATTGGAGCCTGTTAAGTAACAACAATATGGCATTCTGTGGGGTTGTCGTGTTAGTAAGCTCATCTGGAAGCTGGCAGCAATAATACTGGTGCATCTCTAAGTGTGTCATGGCAGGCTACATTGCCCCTTCATGAAAGTAATATGGTTTGCGAACTCTCAGCAGGTTCTGTTGTAGAGGAGCTTGAGCCAAGAACATTGTTTTGTGATGACAAAAAAAAAAAAAGCAGAGAGGGTATTTACATTCTTCATTTTCTCTCTACAGACGGCGAGATTATTGCCTGCCATTATGACTGCGTTCCAACTGGGAGCAATTTATTTAGATTAAACTTCGCTGTTGTTTCCTTAATGCATTTCAGAAAATATTAAATTGTATGAGGAAGGGCATGAGCACAAATAGAAGAGAGAGCTATAATAAGTGAAAAGGTGTGGAGCGACGGAGACGGAAAAGAATTATTAGCGTAAATTCATTTTATGGACTCACAGAGAAATGGAACAATTCTGTGATGATTTTGTCAGACGTAGAGGTGCAGTCAGTTCAAGATGGAGTGTTCTCACGTGCACTTTTTCCACTGTGAAAATCATAATGATCTCAATTACACGGTCATCTGTCAGCAAAAAACAAGTTTGTTTTCTCCAGGTCTCACCGTCTCTGATGGAAATGTCAACAACCCCTGCATAGATTTAAAGAAAACCTTTGCATTGGAATGACAAAACACTTGCCGCAGATGAAAATTGTTAGGGAACAAACAGGCATGATAGAGCTGGTAGGGTGCAGTTGTTTTCACGCTGAATACTTTCATAAATGAGAGTCCATTACTTTGTTCTCTCCTCAGGATGTCATGGATTCAATAGCTGAAAGAGCTTGGTAAAATGAAATTCTTTAAACAGACCACATAATTGGAAATTACAACAGATGTGTAATGACTATAGATATATTGCGGTTCCCATAATTACTATATGAACTCTCAGCCGAATCTAATTAGCATTCATATGTAAAGTTTACATGTACATTTTGGAATATGGACTGAAACACTATGGATGCGCATCTAAGTAAAAATAAATGAATTAATAAAAAATATATACATGCACAGTGAATATACATACATATATATATATATATATATATATATATATATATATATATATATATATATATTTACACGCTACGTCCAAGGATTCATAAACATGTGTACGTCTGTAAAGTTGTCCATACATGAATGCTTACATTTTAGTTTCTATCAATACAGCAACCATAATTTTAGAGGAAACTTAGCTTATACTATTAAAAAGATATGTGTTTGTTAAGATTTTCAACATGTTTGGAAAAAAAGTATCTTCCCTAATGGAAAAAAAGTACACCAAAACGTTGTTCCAATTTAGCAGACTTTACATATAAATGTGGTATACCAACAGTAAAATTACAGGGTATTTATATGAATGGCATAACTATGTAAATGTATTTGTAGTATACTTATAAATAAAAGGCATAAAACAAATGTATTTCAAATACATTTTGGTGTATTTATTTTTTACTAGGCATTTTTTTGAGAGAGAGAGAGAGAGAGAGAGAGAGAGAGAGAGAGAGAGAGAGAGAGAGAGAGAGAGAGAGAGAGAGAGAGAGAGAGAGAGTATTACAATTTAAAATAACTGTATTCTATTTTTAAATATTTTAAAATCAACTTTATTACTGTGATCGCAAAACTGAAATTTCAGCAGCCATTACTTCAGTTTTCAGTGTAAAATGGTCCTTTAGAAATACTTCTAATATGCTGAGTAAGTTAATAGGTTAAGTAGCATTTCTTATTATTATCAATGCTGAAAACTGTTGTGCTGCTTATTTTTGTGGATACCAAGAATCTTTGATGGCTAGAAAGTTGAAAGGTAATCATGCATTAGAAATAACTCCCTATGGACATCCACAATATGTGCTTACAAAAACTGGAAGTTAAACAGCCAGTGTGTGTCCCTAAATGTTCAGAGATTGAGTAAAAGTCTTAGCTCTGTCTAGGGGGATATTATTTTACCATATCACAGTGCGACCTCATTAAACCACATTGCTGAAATCACCTCATGCCAGCCTGCCCCTGCGCCTAAGGCTGGTCTTATCCCAGTCTGCCCCCTGTGCCCAAGGCATGCTGAGAGTAAAGCCCTCTGCTTCATACTGCAAATCGACATCATTCATCTATATCATGGTACTGAAAACCTCACAACAAAAGAATTATCGCTAGTCTCCGGTTTACAAGCGTTAATTTTTGGTTTCATTATACTCTTAACAGATTGATGTAGATTTAAATGTATCGTAATGTTACAGTATAGGTGAATAGAGAAATTCTCTCACTTCAGAGCCTACAGCTTTGAAGTTTCCAAGATGCTGTTACTGTTAAGAGCAAAATCAAAGTTTGGTGTAAGCTTGTAAAAAGATGTCTGTCATTTTAAAGTCAAGAAAACAAAAACACTATAGCATGAAATAAAATAAATAAAGTATTTTTAAATAAATTATGAAAGATGTGTCATAACAACTCTGGCTCTAGACATGTAATACTTGTGGAGAATTTAGTTTCCAAGGCAACAGTGCATTCCAGAATAGCTAAAGGGAGGGGTATATGAGTTTAAATATATATTTTTATGAGATTATATAAATGAAAGGTGGATGAAGAACAGGGGTGTCAGGATGATTATGTAAAACCTAGCAGGGAGGGTGGTGGGTCATGCTTTTGGAAACATTTGAGTTCCCTCAATGCAATGCTGTGAGCACGTTTCTGTGATTCAAGAAGTACTTCTCCCGTTCGCTGAATGTTATATCAGAGTTGAAATACTCTTTCAGTATCAAAAAGCAAAGCAGAATTATTAAATACAGAACAAGCATTTCAGGCACCCATGTGACTTTTGTTGTTTTCTTTTTCATCTTTCTGCCCAGTTGTATGTAAGAAAGTAAATAAACAAAACAATAATGAATAACTAATAATGCATTCTTCCATAAAGCTTCATTGATCTTGTCTCACATGAGAAAATCACGTGTTGCTAGGGACTGGAATTAAGTTTTTCATAGTCCACCATGATTATGATCCATGGTTGTACTGTTTGGATCTTTTTATCTGTGAAGTCCCCATCGGTTAGTTATGTTTTCTGAACAAATAAACAGATATGTCACTTATTTTGTTTATCATGCACTGTAAACCCGGATAAGTTCACAGAACTCAAAAATTATTTTGTAACAGATTACACAAAAATATTTGAGTGATGTTTTTAAAAGTTTTAAGTTTACTTAAATTAAAAGTTATATTTAATGTTGCCTTAAATTATCTCAATGTTAACTTAAAAATATTAATATTTCTCAACTTAAAATTAGTGAGTAATTCACTCAAAAATTTCAATTATCGTCAAATCATAAAATGTTGGAAATACACTCAAAATTTTCACTTTTCTTAAACTCATAAAATGTCAGATATATACTCAATTTTCACTTTTCTTAAACTCATAATAAGGAAATGCACTAAATTTCCTATCGTTTTCTACTCATAAAGTGGGATATGCACTCAACATTTACTCTAAACTAAAATCCTGATGTCAGCCAACGACACAATTTTACTCCGCTAATAATGTCAGAAAAGATGAAGTGACACCACTGTGACAATTTAGCAACTTTTTTTATTCAACAATGTGCTTTTAAAAAGACACAAAAGGAGCTTGCAAGTATTTTATCCTTCACGACAGATACTCTCAGGGCAGAAGAGGGCTGCATCAGTAGTGTTATCCGTTATGACTGTCAGGAGAGCCACTGGAGTATCGGTGAGGTCTGGACCAACTCCTGACTATAAAACAAATAATACAAGAATGAGTTTAGCCCCTCAAGGATACAAATCATGCCAATGACCTCTAAACATTACTGACACTTAGACTACTACTAAGCTACATGTTTAAACTATTTTCTTTACATATGCTTATATCTTATGTTAGTTTCACACCTATCTGTTGGCATACTTTTTGTGGAAAGCTTTATACTTACCTTTTCATTTATAATAACTTGAGAATAACAGTTTACTTAAGAATAACAACTCAGGTCCTGGGGGCTATTCCAGAAAGGAGGTTCAACAAACTCTAAGCCTAACCCTGAACTCTGCGTTGACTTACCATGAGTTTTCAGTTGCAGAATAGCTGATCTGAGTTAGGTACTCTAAAATATTATTATTATAGTATTATTAGTTATTTCTCTTTTTCTGCCGGCTGGTGAAAAAAAAAAAAAGCTAAAACAAAGACGATTGTTCTGATCTGAGAGCACATCAGCAATGACGTGTAGTCTGATATTCACTGTGCGGCCGAAGTATATAAATTGCGGACTGATGAGAGAGCGGTCTACTGTTCGGTTCAGTCCTTGTCAGGGAGTGAGAGCTCATCAAAATTAATCAAACTATGTGAATTATTTCTGCTTCAACATGGTTGGACTGAAAAAGAAAGGACAGCTGCTGTCAGGCAGCTCCGTAAGACTCAGGGTTTCTTCAAGCAAATCTTTAGGTTCACAACGTAAGTTACCACAGTAACAGACCCAGAGATTAAGTTAAATCTATGCTTCCTGATTGCCATGGAGAATCACAGTATCAGAGCTCCATTGATGGCTTTATACTGCTCGTGAAGCACAAGCTCAACTCAAGAGTTAACATACTCGGAGTTGAATTACCTAACTCAGATCAGCTATTCTGCAACTAAAAACTCAGGGTAAGTCAACTCAGAGTTCAGGGTTAGGCTTAGAGTTTGTTGAACCTCCTTTCTGGAGTAGCCCTCTGGAATGGATAAGTCAAGAGTTTTCACATAACCTGCTTTCTGAAATACCCGCCTGGTTTTCCTGTAGTTTTTGGAGAGATATGTTTAAGCTGACCGAATAGCAAGGCAAAGGGATTGACAGTGAGGACAGTACACTTACATTACAGGTCCTGAAGAACTTAAAGAATCTTCATGCAGGTAGACAGGAAGTGCACCAAGGATGAGGTCCCATCTCATATTTACATCACGTTGTTCCTAGATGGACAAAAATTATACATTACAAAAGTAATTACACAAATGCAGAACAAACAATTAAAAAAAAGAAAAGTGTTAAATAGCTCCATATTCTGATGGTGGTCTTTGCTATAGAATGGTAGATTCAGTGTTTTTGGTTCACCATTTCTTCATTAAAATATTTTTCAAATAAATTACTTTCTATTGTAAATACTTGAATAACACAAAAAAGGAAAAAAAACTTAAAATTGTAAACAAAATTTCATGAATACAGACAGTAGTTATTTTGATATCTTCAAATTGAAACTGAAAGTATCTTTTAAAGGTACCTCTTTCTGATAGAATACATCTTGTCAGGATGTCTATCTCTGATTATATGACAATGTTGTTCATGGAATAATCTATTAGCCTCAGGGCACAGTCCAGGCAATTCACTATGGTTTCTTATAGTTGACTGAATATAATCTGTAAATAATCTGTTTCTGAATCATGTTAAGTTTAAAATTCACCTGAAGGTCATAAATCCTCATGAGTTTGGCTAGCTCCTCCACTGTCTTGACAGTCTTGGTGGCCTTGTCTCTGAACAAGGTGATGAGTTTAGGCGTGTGTCTGTCCAGCTCCTTGTAGAATTGATTCCGCAGGTTAATGTTGTTGATTCGGTGAAACTCTGCAATACATGGAGAGACTTGTGAACGTATTTTTAGTTTAAGTTTTCAGTTGCCAGGTAGGAAAAACAAGGGCAATTCTACTAGGGATGAGTCAGAACCAATGTCAAAATAGAAAGTTATTTGTCATTCTTTAATTTAAAACAGGCTGTATAATGTTATCAAATAGAGAATACTTTTCATTTCAATCTGCTTTAAAAAAAAAAATCATATCAGTAAACAATTTACAAATCTCACCTATTGCCAACTGTCTGATGGTGAAACGCTGACTCTCTGTAGCACTCAAGTCCAATATCTATACACAACATGCACACAAAGATGATTAGTCAATGTTCTAAAAACATTTTTTAAACGATACATAATGGTAAATTAAATTTAAAAAAGTAAATTTACAGATAAAAATCCAAAATTTTCAAATCTATCAAAAACATTCATTGTACAGTAATTTTAGTAAAATGAAAAGTTAGTTAATAACAAGCACAGCATCAAAGTTGTGTGTGTATATGCTATTTCTATTGATGTTTTGTTTCATTAATACTAACAAAGTATTAATAAAGGATTCAAGTGATAAAAGCATCTAACGTTAAAGAAATGGCAAAAGAATGACTGTGGAAACACAAAATAAAACCAATTGTTAATAACATTATTTCATAATACATCCTACCTGAACTTTTAAAAAAGATTCCTAGATGATCATCTCACAACCAAACACTCGAGCCTGGAAAAAAAATACACACAAAGACCTTGTTGGTTTCATGATAACACACTGACATTATGTTGTTTAGCATTGTTAGATTCACGCTGGCGCTACACAACACACAGCTCGTCAACGTGAAATACTTACTGTTTAACGCGGACACTTACAAATAAGTAAAACGTTACTTTACATGCATTACCAGCGAAAACAACAGCCGGCAGCAACTGGGAAGCAGGGATAAGTTAACGTTATGCTTTCGGACCATAGACAGTAGGAGCGTTTCGGACTCCACGAGAAAATTCAAACTCACGGTCGTTCCTCTACGTCAATGTCCCGGGAAAACATGCATTATGTGAAATGTAGTTCTTCCGGAAACCCGCCAACTGAACACCGTTGTTAGATTCAAACATTTTTAGTTACAATTACTCGGTTTTGTATACTATTTACAACAAATATTAACTGTGCATATTATATACATGTATTCCCAGTTCCAAATGTAATCTATTTATCGAAATTCAATTAAAAACAACAACAAAATATGTTAGCATTACTTACCAAATCAGGGCTGATAAGACGGCGCTGATAAGACGGCGCTGAAATGACGGCAGGTCAAAGATGAAAAAACTGAGGTCTTGGTTTGAAGTGAGGGGATAAAAAATGCATTGCAAACGAATAAAAACAAATTAAACTGTAAAAACTTCCATGAAAACTTCTCCGCATGAAGGCAAATTCAAGATGGCTGACTCAGCTTTCCTGAGGCAGAGATAAGACCCACCCACCACGTCATGACGTCATGCCACTACTCCTAAACTTTTTGAGTGCTCCACACAAATTAACTATCAAATTTTGAGCCCTATTCAATTAAAGTGGCATAAATGTCAACAGAGCTCAATAATTAATAGTTTGTTCAACTGCATAAGGACATTTGACTGTAATGACCTCATTAGTTATGAGCTAGTACAACTGTTAGGTTTTACAGTGTGTCTTTTGCAAAAATGCTTAACTTAGTCTACTTTCTTTAAAGTGCTGTGAACTATTAAATATTTATTTTCATTTACTTCAGTTTCTGTCCATCATGATATATCATTAAGGCTCAAAATAAAATGGCACTTGCTTCAAATGTAAAGTATGCTTCTGAATATTATGTATATAGGCCGACAGACTTTATGTTCACTTTGTTTCATAATGGTGCTAATTTACATAATAAGGCTTTCATCTTTTTCATGCTGTGAGAAACGAAGTTGACACCAAGATCACAGAAAAAAAACAGTAAGATGCATTAACATGATAGACAGACAGAGCAAACCGTTTCCTTTCTGATCCTACTGTTATGAACTATTTTCTTTTAAAGTGTAGAAATTTAGAAGCGAAGACCAGGAGACTCGGGTTGTATCTTAAGTCGGATTATTTTTCTTTTTCTTTTCAAAAATCTAAGCCAAGTCTGACTAAACTAAAATACAGACTGTTCACATTCCTTACAAGAGGGAGGGGTTACATAGAGGTGGAGACACTCTGAAACAAAGCATGTAAATGAAGTATAAAGGTTTAGAAACCTTCTCTAGACTGAGAGTGATACCAATCCAAATCCAATCAACTATACAAAGTGAGCCAGGGGCTCTCAGAACCATTTTAAACAAAAGGTGATTGTATCAATTTAACTTGCAATAGAAAGATCAGGACAGACAGGGACAGGCAGGTTTGTGGCATTTACCTTAGTTACAAAATTCACACTAATAAACTTCGGTAACACTTTACAGTAAGGGTAAATGAATTATCATGAATTCATGTATAAATTTATGCATGAATTGTGCATTAATTCATGCAATAATATCTCATGAATCATCAGGAACCAACACAAGTTCAACGTTTTTCATTCATGACTTCATGGATGAACAACACCTTGAACAACATGGATGAACTAAAACATTATATGAGTACATAATCATGAATGATGATTTATTACGCATGATCATGATGTTCTCTTTGTTCAAAGTTATGCCACCTTTAAGAGTACATTGTTCATCAGTGTTTCAAAGGACCTAGTCACCACTTTAGTTAAAGGGCCACACACATGATGAAGTCATTGATAAATAATGCTTAGTTTATGATGACTTCTGTATCGAACAGACCCCAAAATCCAATCACAGCTCATAGCACACAAATTTTGTTGACATCCAAATACAGTAGTCATCATTAACTAAGCATTATTTATCAATGACTTCATCATGTGTGTGGCCCCTCAACTAAAGTGGTGACTAGGTCCTTTGGTTTGAAACACTGATGAACAATGTGCTATTAAAGGTGGCATAACTTTGAACAAAGAAAACATCATGATCATGCGTAATAAATCATAATTCATGATGATGTACTTATATTAGTTAATGTTTTAATTAAGGTGTTGTTCATCCATGAAGTCATGAATGAAAAACGTTGAACTCATGTTAGTTCCTGATGATTCATAAGATATTAATGCATGAATTAATGCATAATTTATGCATGAATTTATACATGAATTCATGATAATTCATGTACCCTTACCGTAAAGTGTTACCTAAACTTCTATATACTATAGTATTGGCAATCTAAATTAAACATTTTAATACATTTGTAACACTACACTACGTTAAGTGCCCAATGATTCAAATAGCCTGCTGCTCCAATCAATTGCAAATGACCTATGCATCACCACATCAAACCATTTCACTTTTTCATCCATTGTGTAACTCCTATACAGCTTCCTAAATGCTAGTTTAGTTTGCTTATTTATTAGGTCTAACTGCTTATGTATTGGTCATTTCACACCCCAACCGTGTTTGCTGTGATCTGTATTCAAGTCTGCAGACGGTGCTCTAGGTCTCCTCCAAGTGGTGGATTCATCTAAAAAGCTGTCTTTTCTACCTGTATTAGATATATTTCAGGGCATTTAGGTTGCAATGTCTATGAATCCTGCGGTCATTAGTATCCGTCAGAGCCCAGCGTGTGCTGCTGTGTTAAACAGATCTGCGAGGAGAGGAGAGAGTAAATGGATCTGGCCTGGGACAGAGATTCTGCCGGATCTTGCAGAGAGTGTAAGCCTGTGAAGGCCCTCAGGTAGTGATGTATTAGCCAAATGGTGCTGATACTACGAGTACAGAATGAACAACAGCTCTGTGAGGTCAAATTCAGGTTTTAGAGGCACTTCCCTGTTCACTAGACTTATGTTCACTTAATGCGATAATATCATCATTCCACATACTGGACATGAGTTCCTGCATCTTGGCCTCTCCCTGGACCATCTGCTCTACATCTCCAGGCTTCAACGTCACCGCTTTTCTTCACTTTCATTTGAGCCAGATGAGAACGACTGAGCTGTTGGACCAGCCAGAAGCCCCCTGCTCTCTCTCTCTCTGGACTTGTTCCTTTACACTCTACGGTGCAAATTAAATGCACAGGGTTTGCTACAGATGCCCACTTCCCTCCTCCCTCTCTTCATTGTGGGTTTCATTCCACTGACCTACATGTGCATCTCACTACTAGGGATGGGTGGAAATTTGTACATTTTTTATTATTAAATAATGTATTATTAAAATTGTTGGTTCCAGCCTCCTTCTTCCCATAACAATTGAACCTTGTTGTTACACATTACATTTACCTCGGTTAAGCCATTCAATGACCCTCCCTTGTTAGTCAACTAGAAAAAGAACTCTAAATGAACATTTTGCTGAATAAATGCACTAATCCTAACTTGTTCTTCAATATTTAATGTAGGCCTATGTTTGAATGAAATAAAAAACAGTTTGAAAACAACAGTCCCCCAGGTGTCTTTAACTACTATGTACTAACATTTTAATTAATCATTTGATACAATGCACTTATTGTGTATATGTGTTTACATTATACTTGTCTTTTAAAAACAATACATGCATGTAATCATAGCTGTAATGAAGTTCTGTAATTCAATCTACTGTATAATTACACCTTACATCTTAACCCACCCATAAACCTAACCATACCATCAAACCTGTCCCTAACCTTACCTGTATCCCACCTCAATAGCAGCAAAAGAGATTTGCAATACAACATGAACACAATAAAAACAGTGTACTTATTTTTTGGCATAACTACATACAGTAGTAGGTAAGGACACCAAATATAAAGTGTGACTAAAACAAGTTATGACAGCCCCCTTTTAAATGTTCATCTTTATTTTTATTAATGAATCAGTGTATAAACATAACTATCAGTAAAATACTATTATTATAACATTTTAAATGTCTGTTGTATACAAATTAATATATAACATTAGAAGGGATTTTTTTTTCATAGAGAATAAAAAATGATGTGCTATATCTGATATACCTATCTATATTTGTATATCCAAATGAATCGATATCAGAATCTAATCGCAAGCTTGTGATTCTCATGAAAGTGGGGATGTCATGCCTGACTTTCTCATTTTCTCTTTTAACAAAGTCTTCTCATCGAATCTCTACCACCAAGGGCACAAACCTCAGGTGGAAATATCGAGGTGAAATCACATTCAATTAGAGATAAGATGCAATACAAGAACAATGGTGTGTACAGTGCGGCTGACATGACAGCTGATCCTCTCACCAACCCAGTTATGGTGCACGCACTCTCTTCCTCTCTCTCTCTCTCTCTCTCTCTCTCTCTCTCTCTCTCTCTCTCTCTCTCTCTCTCTCTCTCTCTCTCTCTCTCTCTCTCTCTCTCTCCTTCCATTCTCTCAGGTCTGTATGGTTTAATTGAGGTCTTGGCAATTAAATTGTGCCCTGGAAGCCACATTCAACTCACTCGATAGATAGTGGCAGCACATCCTGAGGAAATAAGGGCTATAACCTGTCCTATCCACAGTCCTCCTTCTTCCCGAGGAAATTCAAATGTGTCACAAACATGTACGCTCTTTCAGTCTGAAACAACAACACCCCTCCACCACTAGACCCTGTCATTGTGACATCACTCCTACATCTCAGATTTAGATCTATAGTAATCTCTCACATGGCTTCAGCACCTCACCGCTCAGCCGTAATTAGCGAGCAGTCCCATTAAAGCAAATGAAAGGGTCTACGAGGCTTAATGGCTTCGATATCAATGGTTAGAAAAAATATCATCCATCAGAAGCCGTCTTAAGTTTAATAAGCCGACAAACTCAACATCACCTTTGTGACAAGCGACAAACAAGATAGACCTTAGTAATTATATTATAAACACTGCTCCTGAATGGTTTAAAGTTTTTGTTCTACTGTATAGACCTTATGCACTAGAGAAACAGGGTGCCGACATCTTTAGAATAATGTCTTTGAACTTCTGTTTTTGCGGTCACTCTCTATGTATCTCAATGGCATGGTGTCCAGGAGTAATTCGCTTTTGAAGTTATCATGAGGATTGCAATGTTTAAAGCAGATGTCTTAACAAATGTCAGTAGACTGGGAAGATTTTAAAACGAGCCGATCATTCATAAATAGGCAAGATCCCTGTGAAAATACAAGACAAAAGACAACAAGCGCAGAGCTGAAAAGGGGCATGGCTACATAAGGTCTATGGGCAGAATGCAAACTACAATATTTATTCTAATAATTTACTTATGTCGTTTTAACACTAGAACGGCCACAACGGTCATTTTGACCGTTTTGAATTTTATATCTATAATAACTTTGTTGAAAAAAATAATAAAATCCTGCTGGTACCTGACTTTTCCTAAAATTGTCTGTATTTTCATTTAAAATGCTTTTCATATAAATTAAGTTACGTAAACGTAAGGCAAAACAAAAAAAATGAACATATTTACCTATTTCGGCCATAGACGGTCATATTGACCGCACTGAATTTTGCGGTATTTTTTTGTTAAATATCCCGCGGTTGATCGTGTTCTCTCTCAACTGTCAACAGAATGGTCCGTCCGGTCACCTCTGTAGCGGTGTTTGCTATATAATAATTTCTACATTAGTTGTTGATCAGAAATAAGCAAATAA